GCGTGAGCGGGGGGCACCGGAGGGGGGTGGGGGGAGCGCGCTGGGCAGCTGGGGGGGGGGGCGCGGACCGCGGGATCGGCCTCGGCCGTGCCACGCTCAGCGTTTGGAAGCGCACTCCGCACTTGCGCGTGGCGTCCCTGAGCACCAGGCGGCGTGAAGAGCATCTTGAGAAATCTAAGACGAATCCTAATAAGCCGTCTCTGTCCTTAAGAAGATTACAAGCATGCTATAATTACATACAGAGATGGAGCTCTAAGAAGGACCCGGTCCCTTAGGAGTCTTTGTTTTCTCGTGTGTGTGTGTGTGTGTGTGTAAGCTCTGGTTATTCCCCAAAAGATAAAAAGTTAAAAAGAGGAGATAGAAGATTAGAAAGAAAAAAACTAAACTAAAAGTGCCTAACGCGCTGCTACAGCATTTTTCTTGTGACTTCTCTAGCTAGAACCATGATAGGATACAGGGAAACAAAAAAAAAATAAAACGATATGGTCTCCACTTGGAGAAGTTTCCACTGCTGTTTGATGTTCCTGGGGTGTACACTTGATGAAACAAAATGGTAGGGGAAGAATCAAGAAATAAGCAGCTCTGGAGCAGAAGACAAAAAATAAAAGCACTGCCTGATGTAACCAACAGTGTTTGTGTACATTTTAAAAGATTATATACACACATCATGTATACTCACTACCCTTTCATTAGAAAAAGTAGTGGATTTTGAGTTGCTATGCAAATTACTCTTAACTTGAAACAGGGCAGGTAGGGTGGATGAAGAGACAAGATATTACACATATGAAAAAAAAGATGAATATTTGATGTAGAGCATGTATGGTGTTTCGTCACAGAGCAAGCCCTATGCCTCGCAGGTAACAGATACTACACTATATAATTACTTTAAGCTGTGATTATGTAAATTCAAAGGCAAAACTTTCATTTGTCCCTGAGATCTGAAATGTTTTACAGCAGCAGAGATAAGAAAACGCTGTTTTTCTCTTTCTTATTTTGCTCAGTGTTATCATGTGATTGAAAGAAGGGGGCCAGGAAGATATGGCTCAGTAGAATAAGTGCTTGCCAAGTGCAAGATCCTGAGTTCAATCCCCTGTACTGCAAAAAGAAAGAAAGAAAGAAACAAAGGATGTGTGTATCAGCTACATTTTGTCCCAAGATACATACTTAAGAATGGCTTGCTTTTGCTTATATAAAACTCACTGTGTTAAATAACATCATTTAGTAGCTTGCAAAATTATTAGTGACTACCCATCTTAATTTTGCTATGTGCAGTATTTACTACCAAATGACATGAAATCATGAATGTTTGCGTATAGTACTAAACTAAGAGTAAAAAATGGAGACTCTTTAAGGTGTAAAAATAATACGCAATAGTTGGAAAGCTGGGACTGCAATTCTAATTTAACTACTAAAAGAAGTACATAATTCCTAAATAGCTTTTTAAAAACCACGTTGGAAATACTTTGCTTACAATACTATTCTGTTAGTCAATCAGAAAAACACATAGGGCTGGTGAGATGGCTCAGTGGTCTAAAGCACCTACTAAGAACAAGCTTAAGCAAAGCACAGGGACCACGGTTCAATCCCCCAGCACCACATGCCAGCCAGCCCCGCCCCCTGGTGGGTTGAGCTGGCCACACACACACACACACACACATAAATAAATAAAAATTTTTAAAAAAAAGAAAATCATATAAATGTTAACTTCAGCTTAAGTATAAGTTCACAGAAAGCAATCTGTAATATTTGAATTCATTCTAATTTTCCTCTCAATATCACATCTCCTTCCAAAAGTTTCTCAAGCACATTTGAACTCCCTCTTGGCGCATTTCCCATCCCCTCCTGCGAAGGTCCTCACCGCGCATAATTTGCCAGTGGTGTTTTAACAAAAGAATCACGAAAAGAAGATAGCATTATGACATTTTAAGAATATGAGCTGCATCTATTACATCATTAAATCAAACCTATATCTCGCGAACAAAACATTTGTGCAAATACTGCTCACCATAAAACGCCCTTGAAACAAAACAGACAACTACTACCTTCAGAGTAAAATTACTGTCATATCCCAAACTGAAACAAAACAAAAAAAAAATTAGGCAAACAGCGACTGTCACTTGGGAGTGTTCCGAAAGTGTTTTCCACCATACGCTATTATAATAAGGCTTTCTCAGCAAAAAAGAAAATAGGACGAGCATGCCAAAAGCGGCCAATCTAATCAGGATCTGCAGAAATCACAAGTCGGAATTTGCAGATCCAAGAATTCTCTTGCCAGTGTAAACACGCTTTACTCCAGATACAAAAAAAAAAAAAAAAAACAACCAAGGCGTTGCCAAACAGTCCTTCCTCAGGGCCCTCCTCGGCAGAGTTACCGGGCAAAATTCACACTTACTTATTCCCAGACCACAAATATGCGCGAGACTTTTAAAACCCGGCTCGGGAACTCAGCCGCAGCCTCCTCTGCCAGGCACGCGGCAGCACTCGGAGTCGCCCGAGGGGCTCGGAGCAGACCCGGGACCAGAGCTCCCCTTTGTTACGCCCCGGCCCATCCTCCGGGCTGCGGGGCCGCGGC